CTACGGTGGCTTCCCTCTCACCTCGGCTGGCCGTGGCTCCTACCCTCCTTCCCGGGGTTGGAAATTTCGGATGAAATTACTTCAATTTTTTCATGAATTTTGGTAATACTTGTTCAAATTCAACTAAATTTTATTTAACATTTCGGAAATTTTGAATCGAATTTTTTAAAATTTCAGTATTTCGGTGAGGCCCGATCAGATCGGCATAACCAATAGGATCAACCCTGCTCCTTCTGCGGCTCGCTCAACTGGCAGGGGCAACGACACTGGCGCGGAGGTCAGCGACAGCGAGAATGAAGGGATGCACGTACGTGTCAAGGTGTGAGCCGAGGCCGCGCGCTCGGTTCCCGCTGCTGCTCGCTTTCCTACGGAGAGGAGCCACCGACGCCGAGGCCCTTCCTTCCCGCCAATAGCCACTGCCGAGGAGAAGCAGTCGTCGTCGCGCCGGGATGGGGATCGAGGTGGGTGCGGCCGTCGTGCTCACTACTTGCTGTCGATGCCCCTGCGCACTCAACCCCACGAAGGTGACAGATGAACACGAGCAGGAGGCCGATGGCAGCGGCCTCGGAGACGCTGACATAGAGCAAGAGGAGCCATCACCACCGGCGCGCGGAGCTACTAGCTGCTGGCCTCGAGCGCGACGAGGAAGTTGTACGGGAATGCCGTGGAGGACACGAGGATCACGCCGTCGAGAACTTCGGCCGCCACAGTGCGCCTACGCGTCTTAGGTCGTCACGGGTGGCGGCGGCGGGAACCTTCAATTCCCGCCAGCAGCGCCGTGTTGGCTGTCGCTCATTATCGTAGCAAAAGTCGCTCCGCGAGGTCGAGCTCTTCACGGCAAAGACAGTGAGCATGCACACGCTTGCTTGCTTGCTTGGTGCCAACCAGTATGTCAGTGGGGATCGAACTGGAGATGGGTTGTTGTTGCCTTGTTGGTCTGATTGTTGAACAGCTCCATTTGGGGTTTTTATTTGTATCTTCTTCTTTTCGATTGTAATGCAATGTAAGCGTCACCTACCTGCCATGTTGGACGAATACCTGGTCGATCAATCTGCCACGTAAGTACCATATTAGATAAAATCATCTCGCAAACCATCGAGGGAGATGAATTGATCCGGTTTCTAAAGTTGAGAGAATTTTTATATCCTGTATTGTGATCGAGGCACAACAATTGGACTGGACATATAATTACCATCGAGGAGATGAATCGATCCGGTTTCTAAAGTTGAGAGAATTTTTATATCCTGTATCGTGATCGAGGCACAACAATTGGACTGGACATAATTAAGGGACGCAGAATCGACTTAATTCTTTTTTTTCCCTCTGTCACAGGGCTGACTCAGCATTTCAAGCCCAAACACAGTTGCTTTGCCCCTAAAAAGAAGCTATATAATAACACACCTAATAAACTAAGTGACGTATACGTAACCTTGGGTAATGTACACTGTTGGAGAAAGGGGCTTTACTCCCGGTTCGTAACCCCCCTATAGTTCCGGTTTTCAAACCGGGACTACCAATCCGGGACTAAAGATCACTATCTTTAGTCCCGGGTAAAAAAAACCGGGAGTAAAAAATGTATCTTTAGTCCCGGTTAGTGTTACCAACCGGGACTAAAGATAGAGCTAGCCTAGCTAGATCGGTTACTTTATTATTATTTTCTTTTCTTCATTGTGTTTTTAATATATTGATTTCACTCCATCCCCATCCCAAAATCCCAAATAAATTATCCCCAAATCCCCAAATCGGCCATATTCAAATAGATCACAAAATCTTAAAACAAAATTTCATCATAACTTCTACAAAATTCATCACAAATACATCACATATTTACGGACATCACACACAAATCAAATACACAGATTCGAATCACAAATTCTTAAAAAAAAGAAAAATAACACAGGCTGCTGGCCACTGCCGCGCCGGCCGCCGCGAGGCCCCCCGGTCCGCCGCAGCGCCGTCCGCCGCCGCGAGGCCGCCCAGGCCTCCGCCCGTTGGCGCGCCGCCCGCCGCCGCGAGGCCGCCGCCCGGGCCTCTGCCCCGCCACGCCGCAAGGCCGCCGGCCGCCCGATCTATCAGTGGGATGATGGGTAGGGAAGGAGAGGAGTTAGAGGAGAGAAGTTAGAGAGGAGGAAGAGGAAGGGATGATGGGGGAGGGAAGTTGAGGAGTTAGAGGAGAGGAGGAGGAAGAGGAAGAGATGGGATGAAGAGATAAGGTTAGGAGAGGAAGAGGTGAAGAGATAAGGCTGCCCATCTCCTCCTCCTCCTCGATCTCGCAGATGGCAGATGCCTCATACTCTCCGCCACGATCTTTTGTTCCGGTTGGTTTTACCAACCGGGACTAAAAATAGATCTTTAGTCCTGGTTGGTAACACCAACCGGGACTAAAGATAGTATGCATCTTTTTTCCCGGTTGGTGTTACCAACCGGGACTAGAAATAGATCTTTAGTCCCGGTTGGTACATTAAAAAGCAGCTCTAAACTTTTGAATCGGGACTAAAAATAATTTTTAATCTCGGTTTTTATTACAACCAGGACTATTGTAGATTTTGGCCGACCGAGTAAAGATGGTTTCTCCATAAGTGGTAACCAGGGTCAATAGTCTGAACTTGGCCGGGGAGAGGACGTTAAGATGAATCAAACAATATCAGTTTCAATCAATTTGTGACCAGACAATGGAGCTTATCATACAACAGACGCAGCACACGTACATGTTGTGTGGTTTGCAGGCCTAGTTCTAGTGCACAACTGCTGACCAAAAAAGTTCATGAACAACCCTCTCCGGCACCGGTAGGCCTCCCCACACACATGCACACGAGCGGCTTTATTTTATTGGAGCCGCCGTTTGCAGGGCGGACATACGTATACTTACGGGTGCCCAGAAATTCAGTTTAGAAAATTTTGAGCTATAGTTTATCTATTTTCATCATATATATATTATGTTAGTTTAAACTTAGACATCTGTATCAAGTAAAGCAAGCGAGTGGACAGTAAACCATATCAACTTGTCTATGATGGCCTATCTATGACAGACTGAAGTAGCTATCACAGATGACATCATGTCTGACGGGTTAAACTAAAACTTATTGTAGATAAGGCTCAAGGGGATGACTCGTCACAGGTAAGAACTCATCTATGACAGTATGACGGGCCTATATCAGAACACAGCACATGACATCTCTAATGGGCTTACATATAGGCCCGTCACAGGTGACCTTCAACCTGTGGTGGGTGTTAAGTTTGCAACCTATCAAAGATGAGATATCTCATCTCAAACGAGTTAACATCTTATATTCGTCAGAAATAACTTAAAACCCTCCCACCCCTCATCCCCGCACCTACCCCACCCCCTGTGCCCCTTCTCCTCCCGTCCTCATCTTCATGTCTCATCTTCCTCTCATCACTCTCTCCTTCACATCTCCAGCCGACGCCTCCCGACCGCTGGCCACCGGTGCCTCCCCCGTCTCCTGACCACCGGCTGCCGGATCTGCTCGGATCTGCCTACGGGGCACGGATCCGTCCATCGCGGCCTCTCCCCCAAAGGTTAGCCACCTCCTCCTCAGCCACCCCACCGTCGGCCGCAGGATTTGGACTCAACGAGTTTGGGGGACACGGATCTGATGGCAGCCGCCTTCCTACTGGCCACTGGATCTCGTGGACTTATGGGACGCATATCCGGCCACCGCGGCCTCTCCCCCCGACCACTAGCCGCCTTCTCCTCCGCCACCTGACTGTCAGGCGCCAGATCGGGCCTCCGCCACCTCCATTCCATAGCCGGCGTCCGCGGCCTCCCCTCCTCCCCCGATTCTTCCTCTGCCACCCTACCGGCAGCAGCTGGATCCCCCAACCGACCGCCAGCATCCTCCACCGTCTCCTTTACCCAAGAGCGCTGCCGCCGTTTCTGACTCTTGTAGGTTATGCTTGATTTTTCTTATCTTGCAAATTTTCATTGCCAAATTTCAGATTGGGTTATATTCTCGGTTGCTTGTATGGATTTGTAGTTTGTTAAGATGGGGATTATTACTGGTGTGATGTATATTGTCACTCAAGTTGTGTAATCTGTGATGTACTTGTGTGGATGTGCTTCATGTGTAGCTATATCTCTGATGTTAACAGATATGTCAATAAAGCGCAAAGTTACGGTGTCTTGCATCTTGAGATGTTGCTTCATGTCGTGAGCTATGGGTGGTGAATTAAACCTGTCAGAGATGTCTATCACCTCAGATGGCAGGAAAGAGCCACCCATCACAAGTGACTCTCATCTGTGACGGGTTATTTTTATGTGGCCCGTTAGAGGTGTTAATCATCATTGACAGGCTTCCACCCGTTAGAGATGAGATGCAGTCATCACTGCCACTGATCATTGATGCGAGAGCCGAACCCGTCAGAGGTGATGATATGGGCCTGTCAGTAATGTGCGGACCCAGTGTAGTGGGAACTCCCCTCGTTTTATTATAGCTCCCCCGCTGATGCTTGGATCGATCCGGCCCGTCCCACCCCTTGGACGTACACAGTGAGGCGATTTTGCTAGATATTTGTCATCAAATTTCTCCCCCTAATATTTATCAGATGTAATTACAGTACAATCGTAGTGTAATTACACTGTAACTTACATGTAATTACAATGTAACTATAATGTAACTTATATGTAACTTTCAAGAATCTCTCAGTAACATGTTATTTCAGTAAAATAGAGGTCCTGGGAATAAATTCTTTCACATATGTGTGTGCTGTGATTTTTTTATTCCTCACCAGAACAAATCTTGTAATAGATCTAACTATTCAAAATTACGTGAAACTTACATACAAGTTACACTGTAGTTATATGTAAGTTACAGTGTAATTACATACAAGTTACAGTGTAATTACACTATGATTGTACTATAATTACATCTGTCAAATTTTTAGTAGAAAATTTATCGACAAATGTATAGGTGGTCCCCAGTGAGGTACTGACGCACAAAACAAGTACTAGTACTATTTGACTCAGATGACACACAGTGTGTACGAATTAAAGTTGAGCGTATATGTAAATTATAAAACTACATCGGTGCAGTAACTTGGAATGTAAAACATGCATTCACAAGGTATACATCTGATAAACAAAATGCAATGTTGTTTGTACACAACATATTAACAGAGCGAAATGGAGCGTGCTTGTGCGTAGCATATATCGAGCAAAAACCCAATGTAAATTAACGATATGTGCATCGCCTGCATCGCATGCATGCCTGCTCATCAATACGAGAGCAGGCTCACGGCGACCACCGCGGTCACGACCCCTGCAAACGCCGCCGCCCATCCCGCCGGCGCCATCCTGCCGGCGGCCGCCGTCGCCGTGGCGTCCACCTCCTTCGACGGCGCTTCGTCAGGCGCCGCCGCCACCGACGACGACGACGCGGTCTGCGGCTTCCCGTGCTTCCCCGCCGCCGCGGGCGCGTCGGCGGCGCCGTAGTCCTTCTTGGCGCCGGGGCCGAACATGTCGGGCGGGAGGAGGACGGCGTCGAGCGAGTACACGGCGAGCGGGTGGCCGTCGCGGAGCGGCCTCCCGAGCTCGGCCTCCACCACCCCGGACGAGACGCGCACCCTGTCCTCGCCGGCGGTGGTGACGTTGACGGTGCAGACGCCGCGCTGGCCGGAGGCCTGGGTGCGCACCGGGTTGGTGGTGGTCTCGAACGTGACGAAGCCGTAGTACCTGGGGAGGACGTGGTACAGCACCAGCTCCGCCTGCGCCTGCGCGTCCATCTGGTTGAGCGTCCCCGGCCGGAGCCGCCCGAACGCGGCGTCCGTCGGCGCCAGCACCGTCAGCCCGTCGCCGTTCCGGTCGTTGTTCAGCAGGCTGCTCACCTGCGACGTCACCTCCGTGTCCTTGAGCAGCCGGACGAAGGTGTTGTAGTGCCCGGCCTTCGTCAGGATCTCCGTCAGGTTGAGGGGCCCCGTCGGTGCCGGGCTTGGCGCTTCGCCGGCGCCGGAGACGACGACGACGGAGACGGTGGCTAGGGTTAGGGACAGTACAAGAAATACTGTGCTTGGGGAGGAAGCCATTTTGGATGCTTAATTAATTTGCTTTCTGTATAGCTACTACTGTACTGTGCGGTGTTAGGGCTGGGGTTTAAGTAGGGAGTGAGAGTTGGAGAAGGAGGGCTTTCAATAATTTCTTGCAGTTAAATAACGGCCAAACTGTTGGTTCGACCATCCTTTTTCTAGTTGGAGCGGGAGACGTCTCCAGTTTTGTTGTGGTTATGTTGGTGGTGCATGCTTATCCATGAAACATATACGGAGAGGGGACCAATAGTGAGGTTTGCTTTGCCTTTTCATCTTCTGATCAGAATAAGCTAACGATCAATAATACTATACTAATGATAGGGCGCCATATATTGCATGATGGATTTATTGCGATATATTGTATTTTTCTATATGCCTCTATGTGCTAGTAGCTCTTTGATGTTGTAACTTCCAAGTGTCAAGCTGGGCTACTATAGCTACCGTACTATATCGTGTGATTTATGAATTAGATAGGAACATTCGTGCATGCATGTTTATATTCTGCATTTTGTAGTGGGCATGATCAATGACAGTAACGGATGTTTGCGCCATATTTTCTCGAAAGGACAGCTGACCTAGACAGTCACATTAACCACATTGTTTGTTAAGACTAACGGCATATGTACCGGTACATCCGTACTTTTTACTTGCTGTTATATTTGGACATCGCCACTTCAATACACTTAAGGCTGAAAAACAGACAGCGACAGCAGCAGCAGCAATAATAATAATAATAATACAAAATTATCCGTCTGAACTTACGCACTTGTTCAATTTAGCCCTCTAAATTAATTATAGAACCACATTTTTAACCCTCAATACTTGTAAACAAGAGTAAAGTAACGAGGTGAACAGTGGGATTTTACGATGAACATGTTTTTTTTTTTGGCTATTTGAGTCGATCAGACCGCGCAGTGTGCGCTGGTCAGATCAGGGTTGTGCGGATGGTCAGATCAGGTAACTCAACGGTCTAACAGGTTAGCTCATGTATGGAGTTAGCTTCCAGCTGTTTAGTTGGATACTCATGATTACTTCATGTTATGACTTCTATATGATTACTATGCATATGTAATACTATTGTCAGCTAATATTAGGTTAAGTTGAGAAAGCACTTGTGCTTGGCTAGTTTAGATTATAAATCGGATAAATAGTTTAGAAGAAAAAAAACTTTTAAAGTGCGGAAGATGGAAATATGAGAAGTTAGCTAACTGAGCTGCACAAGGCTCTTATCCTTTTTTAAAGAGCAATTTTACTGTTTTTGAGGAGGTACCATGAGGTATCACTTTTTCTATTGTAAATTTGGTACCTCTTGGTACCTAGGTACTATGAGGTACCATGAGGTACCAAATTTTACACTAAATTTTTGGTACCTCATGTTACCTCCTCAAGAACCGTAGATTTGCTCTTTTTTAAATTGTCGCACAAAGAGACTGAGGGGGCAGTGGCTATGCATGTAGGTATTCATGTATGAGAGAGCATGCGTGTAATGTGTAGTAGTGGACACCCGATTTTTCCTCTTAAGATCAGGCGCTCGAGTTGCATTCGCCAAGTTTTGATTTTTGGTCTACCATTCATCACTCCTCTAGTAGGATTTCTCCTTGTGTTTCGATCCTAAGCTTCTCGCGCGCTTGCCACCCCTCCCTCCAATGGCGGTGCCGGCCTCTCCCAGCCGCAGCGATCGGCAATGGTTTAGTTGCTGCCCTGCTGCCCCTCTCCACGACATACTGGTCCCCACAGTACGTCCCTCTCCGCGCAGCTCTGAACCAATCCCTCTTTCTTGGCAGGAGGACACAGGGAAGGCAGGGGACGGGATCCGGCGGCAGCACCATCTTCTTCGGTGATGGTGGAGGTGTCGTGCACACACTTCAGGTCATGGATGAGTCAACTCGTCACAGGAGGACTGGTGGATCGAGTAAATCGAACTTATTGCAAAACATCAAGCGGTAATTCGGACTTCTTCCAATAAAAATCCCCAAAATTAACTCTAAAATTAGTTTTGAAAATTCAAAATTGATATGTGGCTGATAACCAACCAGCAGACCATGTGAGAGCCTCACATCATTGATTTATGACCTGTTACTCCATCCGTCCCAATAATATATAAACATTGCTAAATAGTCTAAAGGAAGTGCATTTATTTGGATTCGGCTTCTAGCTTTAATAGGAGAAATTAAGGGTGAAGAAGAAAATTATGATAACACTTATTAAATGAAGAGGTGTTCAGGAGTAGGAGTGTAGTGGTAAAATAGGGTGAAAATCAATTGGATCATGATTAAGATGAAAATTAAATTGCCTGTACTAGTGAACATTGAAATCCCAAAATTATATTTTGGGACATAGGGAGTTATTTTTTTATTTAAAATCTTCAGTTAAATTACTAAGATACTCAATAGAGAGTCCAAGGTACTGAAGAAAATGAAATATCATATAATTATTGTCCTTGACTTTTAGAATTATTAAAGCTTAAGAAAAACTAAAATTGAGACTACAGGCGGAGTACAACTTGGTCTAGTCCACGTTAGTTACAACTTACTAACTATTAATTAACTTTTTTTCTTTTTTGAGAAAGAGAGGATTCCTCCCCGTGTTATTAACAAACTCATCAAGCGACTACTAACTATTAACTTATAAATTTAATTTAATAACTATTAAATCAATAAATATTACCAAAGCGTCACTAGGATGAGTATACATATTATTAAATTTGAAATTTTAGATATTTAAAGAAATAAAAAATTAGTTTATGATAGCACTCCAAAATTAAGAGTATGCACAATTAACTTTATATTTATTGTATATGTTTAAAATAATTAAGTTATGGTATTACAAAAATCATTAGAGTGAATTTTCAATACAACTTTGCAGGTATTTTTGAAGTAGTAATTAAATTAAATTGTTTTGTTCTTAAGCCTTAAAGTTTTCATGTATACAAAATATGCAATGCAAATACACTACTACATAAATGTTTTTGCTAGACGAGACCCTGGTTAGGTTGCAGACGAACCATAACTGCCCGCGTTTGTAAAATTCGGTCTTCATTTTCGCATACGGCATCTTAAGATGCCCGCATGCAAAAATCGATTTTCGTAAATAGACAACTTAAGGAGCTGCATGCGAAAATAAGACCATTTTTGCATGCGGACCTCTTGAGGGACCGCATGCAAAAATATCTCATTTTTCTTTTTTCCCATCCACTTCAATTTTTTTACCCATCTCCTGTCAAGATATTTCAATCCTCTCCTCCACTCCTCGCTTCCTCTCCTCTCCTCAATCTCTCTCTCCCTCCAAGTGGGCGGCGACAGGCGGGCGGCGGCGCCACCGCCATCCCCTTCCTCATTGACGATGACAACGACGACGACGAGGAGGCGACCAGCTCCATCCACACCCCCCCCCTGACGCTGCCACCGCTGACGACAAGGAGGCGACAACAGTGGTCGACGTCGGGCGGCAGGCCTCCTCCTACCCATATCTGGCAACGGTGGTGAGAGCGGTCGGCGGCTCAGCGGTAGGAGCAGCGGCGGTGGGAGCGGACGGTGGCGGCTTTCACGATGGTGATTTGCCTCCTCCCGCCCGGATCCAGAAGTGGCGGGCCTCCTGCTGCCTGGATCCGACAGCAGGAACGGCAGTGGTGGGAGCGGACGGCAGCGGCGGCTCGCCTCCTCCCGCCCAGATCCGACGGTGGCAGGCCTCCTCCCGCCTAGATTCGGCAGCGGGAGCGGACGGCAATGGGAGCAGAGGGCACGACGCCGGCACTCGGCTGACGTGATTTTTTTTTTGGATTTTTATTTTTGCATGCGGCCCACGTAAGCAACTACATGCGAAAATAGCAATTTAGCATGCGGGTGCAACGCCCTCATGCGAAAATCACTATTTTTGCAGACCTTCTCGTGCAGACGGCCTGGCCATCCGCTTGCAAAAACCAAATCTGGCTGTCTGAAAAATCTTTTTTTAAGTATTGATAGTCTATACAAATGCAACGTGTGTTGTCCGCCGACTAGTCTAACTGTAATAGTTTTACATTGGGAAGTCCATCGAGTTTTTTAAGTATTGATAGTCTATACAAATGCAACGTGTGTTGTCCGACGACTAGTCTAACTGTAATAGTTTTACATTGGGAAGTCCATCGAACCAGATCGAGACCAAACTCGCGTTATTTTTTTAGGCTTGTTAGCTAGTGTCAAGACAAGATAAGTTGGTTGTGTATGATTAATTAAATATTAGTTATTATAAACTTGAAAAATATGTTTTATTTAATTTTTTAAAAAGCTCTATATAGAAAAACTATTGTAGTAGGTCAGGAAGTGTGTTTATAGAAAAGGAGTGGTAGCTGTTAAATATGTGATCCGAATTTTGGGCCCATAATATATTCGGATTAGTTTCCTAGTAGGAGTCCTATTAGGTGTCTTTCTATTATCCCCTATATATACTCTTGTAAGCCGTACGGGAAGGGGTGACGTTCCTATTATGATTCCCCTACGTTTGTAATCATCTCCTCTATAGTGATCATTGCTGGTCGGCGCCCGTGGTTTTTCCCGCAAGGGTTTTCCACGTAAAATTCGTGTCTCCGTTGTGCATATATTTTTATAACAAGTGGTATAATAGCATTGGAGATTCGATCAACAACTATCCCATCGTCGTTCTGCAATTCGGCGAGATTATCCACCAGCGCACGTTCATCATCGGCGACGGCAGGCGCGTGTCGTCGCTCGTCTCGTCGATTCGTCTCGTCTTCGTCGTGCTGCCTACGCACGCGAGAAAAAACAGGAGGAGCAGCAGCCGGTCTCCACACCACACGTCGGGGGAGGAGAAAAAGCAGCAGAAACCAATCTAATTGCGCACGGATCCCAAAGTGAAGAAAAAGTAGGGCAAGTCAGTCAGAGCCATCATCGCCCTGTTCTGTGAATTCAATTTCACGTTGAGAATTGCTATGGCCACCTAAGCTTGTGTACCAGGAGATTCCCTGATCTACGCTACGTGCACACATAAAGTGCACCCAGAGGTTCGTGATTTTGCTAGGTTTACCCTAATTTCTTACTAGCAAATTTTAGGATTAATTCCTATGGCG